GCGCTCAGAGACCACGTCGGCTTGCAGTGGCTCTGGGGCGGCCTCGGTCTCGGCGGCGCCCGTGCCCAACACCAAGCACGACCACGACAGCACCGACATGCTCGTCCAATCACTCTCGGCCGACTATGTCCTGCTTGGTCTGGTCGTACGAACAGCTGAGCTGCCTCTGCCACCGAGTGATTGGGTCGGTGCTCGGGCTCCATGCTGACGCGGTGCCGGCGACCGCATGCGTCGATGGCGATCGTGGACCATCGCGTGCTCCTGCACGCGACGACGACGACAACAACGCATGACATTGAGCTGCTCCGTGGCGCCGCTTTGTGTTGGAGCAGCTGCCGGTCGTCCGACTGGTCGACTTTAACGTTGATGACGCGCGGCGTTTCTCGATTTGGCGCGCGCCGTCGACCGACTAAGTGGTCTAGCACCCGCTCTTCCTCATGGCCCCAAGCAGGTGACGGGCACCGTCCTGCGTGGCACGCACGCGTGGACAGCAAAAGTGTGCGGCCGACGACGACGCCTTGGCCAAGGACAGCACCGACGTACACTCTATTTTGTACATATTCCATCTTGCTACTCTTGCGTGTCGGCGTTCTACATGCAGCAGCTCGGCGCCCCGGGGCGCTTCGACGACGAGAAGCTCCGCTCGACCTTGTCGACGCTCGTGACGGGCCCGGCACTGACGTTCGACGGCCACCGACTCCGCTGTGCGCTTCTGGACGCGGTCCAACGTCAGTGGTCGTTGCAGGACACCAAGGGTTAGACCCGTTTACGCTTCGCCCGACCGTGTGGCGCCACGTCCTTGCCGTCGCCACCAAGGTACGCCGAATGACGACTTGTCCATCAAAAGATCGTAAGCGTCCTACTATGCGTCGCTCGAATGCTAGTGGCAATCGGACGTGCTCGAACTATACATCTTGACGTCCGTGACGCTTCTGGACGTTCATCAAGCCGGGCTTCTCGGTGGCGCTAGCGCCGGTCGCATGTTCCGACCGTCCTTGCACTGATCGCCAGCGTGCTGTCTGGTGACGCGGCCACGCAAATGTCGATTCTCGATGCCCTCGTCGCTCATGTTGCGCTGCCGTGTACGTACTTCAAACGATGCGAGTATGAGCGCCCAGGACGTGGCCGCGACCGACCTGACCTCACCCTCCACCGTATGAGCGCCGTCGTCCTGCACGACGTGCGCGCCGCGGCTGACGCCAACGCGTGCTTTGTGGCTGTTCGCCTCGATGTGTTGCCGTCGTTTCTCGCAGGCGCGACGCTGCGCCATGTGGAAGCGACCGTGCGGCCGGCGCGCGAGCGGTCGCTGGCCATGTGGTCCAACTTGTTCTGGCTGTGCAGCCAGACGCAGTCAACGTCGAGTGTGCCCGTGCTGCAGGTGTTTGCTTGGTCGATCTTGATGAGATTGTGGTGGACTGGAACCTCGACGCTTCGACACGGTCGCTCATCGCGGCGGTCGCCGATGCCGCCAAGCTGCTGGCGTTTCTGCAAAACAACGATCGCCACAGCGTCCTCCGCGTCGTGCTGCGTCACGCAAACGACGCGCAGGACGCCAACGACGATGTCAAGCGTATGTACCTTCTCGGTGACTGCTTGCTGCTCGAAGCGACCAAGACAGAGACGGTCTTGGCCCGCGCGGTCCGGTCGTGTCGTGCATCTCAAAGGCGTGGCGGTCGTCGTTGAGCACTCGTCGCGGCCTCCAACGTCTTGGAGCTTGTGCCGGAGGCGCATCGGTGGTTTGCGTCGCAGGCCGGTCTCGCCTCGGACGCTGGTGACTGCGCGCTCACCGTTGTTTGGGCCTCGGATGTTGACAAGCAACTGGTCTTGGTCCGCGGCAAGCTCGCGCTGCCCAAGCTCAGTCTGGCACTAGGGTCGCTGCGGTCGCCCGCGGTGGTCTCGCTGCTGCTGATGCACCTTGCGTCCCTGCCCGTGCGGCTTGCAGTCGATCGAGGTCGCGTCGGCGCTGGCGCTTGAGCTCGGCTTCAAGGTCGTGCTTCGTGCAGCCGCTGGTTCGACTCTAGGTTTGCTTATCCGAAAAGATACGGCGTCGTCCGGTTGTGATATGCCGAGCGTGGATTGGTTGAAAAGAAGCCAATGAAAAGGGGGAGAAGTGTCAGTTTCCAAATCAACGGCGACGGAGGATGCCAACGGACGACGAGGTAGAACGACGACCAAGCGACCTGCGACGATGTGGACGAGCGATGATGTAGCAATCGCTTTTCAGTGCTGCATATCATGGCAACGTGGCTACTGTCCAAGTCTATCTCGACAAACGCGTCAACGTCAACTGCACGAACGACGTACGTTGGATCTCTCGGATTGAAGTATTTTACATTGAAATCCATTGGAGTAGAATGGTCAAATGCCATTGCACTACGCTGCTTCCGGAGGTCGATTGGACGTCGCCCGCCTCTTGCTTGAGAAAGGCGCCAATGTGGACGCGTGCGACAAGGTATGAATTGCGTATCGACGATAGAGCGTTATGTATCTTGCTTGAATGCATCCAACTGCTGTGTAGAGTGGTTGGATGCCATTGCACTCTGCTGCTTACGGTGGTCATGTGGACGTCGCCCGCCTCTTGCTTGAGAAAGGCGCCACGTTGGACGCGTGTACGACGGTATGTTTGTGTCTTGATGACGCTGTTTTAAGTATCTATTGGAGTAGGATGGTTCAACACCACTGTACATGGCCGCTCAAGCCAACAAACCAGAAATGGTCCAACTGCTCTTGGAAAAAGGCGCCAAAATTGACGCCAAAAACAAGGTACGTACAGCCACCATGTCGTCGTTTGGTGCGGGCATGAAATGTGCCTCAAGACATCGTCAACGAACAACACATTGTTTTTCTAGGATGGCAAAACGCCGCTTGAGGTCGCAGAAGCACGCGGTTCGAATGCTCCCGTCGCAACACTTTTACGCGACTATCTTCGCATGCAAGGCGAGCAGGTAGAGAGTCGACAAAAATGACGTGCTTCTCTGCCGCGTCCATACTCACTCTCCGTTTTAGCTCTTTGATGCACTGCGCAACAAGTGCATTGATGACGCCATGCGCATTCTCCGAAACAACTCTTATCACGTCAACCTCCGTGACAGCGTACGCATCTCTTTTCAAACGAATTGCTACGATAGATATGACTCATTTGAGTGTAGTCGAAGACGCCGTTGCTGCACTCGGTCGTGGCAACGCAGGATATGTCACTGATTCAAATATTGCTTCAAAAACGAAACCTCCAAATCGATGCCAAAGACTCGGTATTCCATCAATCGACTTTTTGTCCGACATTCTTACGTTATGTGTGACATGGAATAGACGGATCGCACGGCTCTTGCAGTCGCCATTACCGATGACAACGCCGAGGTGGTTCAGGCGCTGTACCAAGCAGGCGCATCCATCCATCTCGTCGATATCCCACCTTGCGACAAGGTTGGATATCAACTATATTTTGGTGAGAATATTGACAATGTGGTACAGCGTCTATGTGCTTCAACGCCAGTCTTGGTCGCCGCTTTGCGCCAAGCAGCCTCCATCAACGACGGCAGCACGGTGGCTCAGCTACTACGTCTGGGCGTCAGCTGCTCGTTGGCCAACGAGGTTGTGTATAGTGTTGAGTTGGACGGTCAAAAGCATCTTGGTTTGATCTAGAAAGGCGAGACGGCGTGGCATATGGCGGCTGCAAAGGGCCACATGTCCATCCTCACAATGCTGCTCCAACAAAAGACCAAGGACGAGAACGGAATTGACGTGACCAATCACGTACTTCACTTTACTTCGTTTCCATTTTTACCTTCAACTGGCGTAGAATGGGGAATCCCCTCTTTTTCTCGCTTCGACCAGTGGCCACACCGACGTTGTCAAATGTCTCCTCCGTGGCAACGCCAGCCCCCACATCGTTTCTCATGTACTGTCTTTGAATGATTCGTATTCAAATGGTGTGATTACGATGTTAGGATGGATCGACACTGCTCCACGCGGCTGCGATTGGCGGGAACATGATTGTCGTTCATCAAATCGTTCAGAGCGGCGTCAACGTCGATGCGTGTGACGCGGTAGGCAATTTTGTCTGTGATAGAATCAGTCCAACTCATTTCTCGTTTGAACTAGATGGGGCAGACACCACTCCACATTGCGTCCGAGAAGGCCAACGACAGTGTGGTCAAGTACCTTTTGGACGTCGACGCCAATGTATTTGCCAAGGACAAGGTATCGCGATCTCAACACACACTAAAGCTCTAGGATGACGTGATTTCTAGACGGGCAAGACGCCGTTGATGCTGGCGACCCACCCACTTGTCATCAACACCCTGCTACAGGCAGAAAAATCGACCAAGCAAAAGGTAGTCTAAACGATCCAACGCATCCTTCTGCAAGCCTTCGTAGGCTCCTCAGCTCTCGCAGACAATGCTAGACCACATCGTCACGCGTATCTGCGACACGGGGGTATTGCGAGACCTTATTCGTACGAGCGTCTGCGGCTCGGAGGAGTTGCTCGGCCAACTCGTCCAGCGGGTTTGCGACCGCCTCGACGTCGGCCGCGAATCTTTGGGGGTGCGACTGCTGCATGTGACACGTCATTTCCTTCGATGTAGGCCTCGGTGGACCGACCTGTGGACACACGAGGCGCCAACGTACAACTCGCTTGTGAAAAATCACGGTCATTTATATCTGTGGTGTAGGAGCGTGTTCGAGCTGATAACGACATTGACGCTAGCCAAACGCTGCTGGCCGACGACAGTGATTCCAACGCCGCGAACGAGGTAAATGTTTAAACTCGTCTCTTGAGCATCGACGCGACGCTGAAACGGTGTAGGCGGGCGACTCTCCTCTGCATCTTGCTGTACAAGCCAACGACCACAAGACGTTGATGTCGCTTTTGCGAACGCCCAGCATCAACGTCGACGTCCGCAATGCGGTACGACAAATTGCGGTCGACGACAACGATGACAATGACAATATTGTTATAGGTGGGCATGACACCGGTGATTCTTGCCGTCCAAAGGGGCCACCGGCGCTTAGCAACGATGCTCCAGACAGCTGCGCACCCGAGTATTGCCGACGTTCGTCTTTTTTTATCGTTAAAACTCGTTGAATGAGCAACTGCAGGTGCCGACCACGGACATCAAGATGGACCAATCCAGTCCGTTGAATGGCACCATGTACAAGGGCACATACAAGGGTCGCGTCGTCGCCATCAAAACTCCCTCCGATGAGTCCTCCGCCCAAGCAATCCTCCACGAAATGGAGACCATGCAGCAGTAGATGACATTGGTTTGTACAATGATCTGAATGGCAATGGATTTAGGTGCAACTCGCCATACGTGCAGCAGCTGCTCGCCGTCTCGGATGTCACTACATCGAGTCCCAAGCTCGTGCTCGAGTACATGGACGCGGGGGATTTGCGCAGCTACCTCGACGCCAAGCGACTCGGTGAGCCCACCAAGATCAACGTCTCACCATTGCAAGTCGCGTGGGTGCTTGCAAACGCGCTCGCCGATCTGCATCACAACGGTCTGCTTCACCACGACCTCGAGAGCTACAACGTCCTCCTCTCCTCGACCAACTACATTAAAGTGGCGAACCTCGGTTGCGGCCTCGAGTCGGACGCAACGACGGGCAAGAGCACACCGTACTGGACTGCGCCCGAAGTGCTTGCGTCGACGAGCAACTACAGCTGTGCAGCCGACATTTACTCGTTTGGCGTGATTTTGACCGAGCTGGATACGCTTCAGCTACCTTTTCACGACGCCAAGGGCCTCGGGTACTGGGGTATCATCGACGGCGTGCGTCTCGGCAACCTCCGTCCGACAGTGAGCACCAACTGTCCGCCGTGGCTGCGAGACCTCGCCGACGCCTGTCTCTCGTTTGACCCGACGCAGCGTCCGTCAGCGCTGATGCTAGTCCAGTCGCTTCAAAAGCTACTCGATCGCAGCGAAGAAGAGCTTGCGGCGCCTGCCGGGCGTGAACCCGAGATGACGTTTGCCGCGCCAAGTGACGGGAGTAGCCCCTTGGTGCGGTTTCTCTCTGGAAGAGTGCTTTGTTCATGTGTGCGTAGGAAGTGTTGTCCAACGAGAGCCCACCACCACCGACGAGCGAGGAGTCGAGCGATGATTTTGATGATTACGTAGCACCAGCTATCGAATCGCCAACGCCGCCCAAGGCACCTGCCATCTCGACTAACACGCCGGTGCGACCAACGTCAAGCATGCTCTGGGCGATGATATCTCACCGACTGGCGTGCTTCTCAACTAGACGCCATCGTCGTCGCCTTCCTCGATGCCCGTGAGCACGCACGCTGTGTGTCAGCTCTGCCGCGCGTCCAACTCGCTGCTCGAGTCGCACTGCAAAGCCTGCGCGGCACCCTTGGCCTCCATTACGTCCAAGCTCAAGGCTCTCTTGAAGCGCTTGGCCGTCGCCAAGAAGAACGGATTTGAGATCGACGACGGTCTTTTCTGCGACTGCTGCGACGCACACCAACCGATGGACGCGACCGTCTGCGGCGTCTGCGAGGAAGAGCTTCCAGACGACCACGAGAAGCTGTCCATCCTCATTCTACGCATCGAGCAAGCGACCAAGTCCACGGCCTAATGTCCAAACTGCACGTCTACATATTCTCTTGGTATGACCCATGAAGCGAACCAATTGCATTAATTCGTTGAAGAATATTCAACCAGAGCAAGTCCGAACAGCGCCAACACAAACCCAACGTATTGCCCGACCAAGCCTTGGTCCAGCCCACACTACACTCAACCACAAGGACGTCGAGTCTACTTGACGTAATCCACCGCTAGCGCTCAATGGGGAGGCAGGTTCGACGAGAAGAAAGTGAAGAACTGGATTGTGATACGAATTTGACGCACGTTAAAATTCCCTGGCATCTGATTGGCCAAAAAGGCAACGTGACGTGGCAATGTGTTAGCCAGCGGCACAGCAGACGCGCCGTGCAATTGCGCGCGTGGCGGCGGACGAGAATGCAGCGTCGACGGTGCATTGTAAGGAACTGCGTCGGTGTCTTGTACCGCGAGCCTGGCCGACCACGGCGTCAACGTCAGAAGCGTCTACTGCCTCGAGAAAGTCGTCCATACCTGATCCACAACGTTCAGACTTGGTTTGCGCACGCTCGCGATGAAGTAGGAGACCCACAAGCAGCGGTAGAGTCGGAATTCCGATCGATTCCGGCGCTAGTCACATTCTGAGACAAATGCCGCGTAAAAGCAGTGTGGTACCTCGTGCCAGACGCGAAAGTGCGCAGCGCCGACGCCGTCAAGAACGAGGCCCATGCCAAGCTCGCATCTGCGTGCCGTGGACCTTGTGCGGGCGCGGACAGAGTTCATGGTTGCCGAGGGCTCCGAGCTCGACTCGTTTGGCGGCTCGTGCACAGACCGGATCGCAGGCGACATCGAGCGAGAGGTTCGCCGCGAGCAATTTGTTGGCGTGGCGCTGCCAGTAGTCTCGGCTCGGTGCAGTGTAGAAGCAGGAGGACGTCATGCGTAAGGTGCTCGAGCTCGCGCCATCGGATTCGGCGCCGAGAGTTGGCGCGCGCTCCGAAGACGACGCGGCGCTGGCCGACGTGCGAGAGGCCGTCGAAAAATTGGCCAGGGCTCCGCCCAAGGGCTGAATCGTTGGCTCGTGACGCGTAGATAGGCTGCGCCATACCTACATCGTCGTCGCATGAGCGCCTTGGCCTGTACCACGTGCCTGGGCTGGCGGTGATGGTCGGTTGGAGAACTGCGGCAAGGACACTAGTGATTGGCTCGAAAGTGAAATCCTTGCCGCTCTGATTGGCCACAAAGCGAACGGCTTGTCGCTCTGATTGGCTGAAACGCTTTGGCCTGGCGTTGACGAAAATGAGGGAGACCGACGAGGAACGCTGCATTACGACCGAGCGACACCTCATGATGACATGTACAGTACGAAGAGACTTTTATGGAGTCTCCTCGAGCACAATGCAGCAGCGTCAGAGGTGCCCGAGGAGCCTCGGCGTCGTCTTTCTGGCGTCGTCGGGTATTAATATTGGCGTTCGCCATTTAGAGCCATAAAAACCATATTTTGGTGAACACAGGCGCGCCGCGCCGGCGGATCGACCAGAACGAAGTTTGAAAATGAAATCGCCCATATTTGCCAGAGTGCTAGACCACACTTTGGGGAGTCCAAAATGCTATGTGGCGTCGCCGTACGAGCTCCGTAGCGAGAGCAAATGACAGCGGCAAACAATATTTGATATAGTGTGATATTTTGCAACACCGAAATACTGTACGGGATTCGAGGCCTCATCACGCAGCGGTACCGCGCGCACGTTGTCTCCCTCGGCCACATGCAACACGCTCTTTAACACGAACAAAAAGAGACGACGTCCTCGGTTTCCGCGACTTCGACGCATTTTCAACCGAAATTGCATGTCGAATTTCCTGAAAACCGACGCTCGGCAGTTCGAGTTTGGTGTGAGTGCTCAAGCAACGACGGCGCCCAACAAACTGGTCGCACATCGGGTCGAGACCCATCGCCAACTGTGGCAGCCAGTTTCACGGTCCTTGGAGCTTTGGAACCCCGCGATGTCACGTGAAGTATTTGGGCAATTCTGCCACCACCTCGAAAAATGGAAAATGGATTTGCGCGTGATTGCGCTACGCGCAAAGTCGGAAACGACATGTACATCATTCAACAAGTGTGTGGAGAGGTATACACAGCTGCTGCGCGGCGCTGGCGCGTCTGTGGGCTGCTACTCGTCGTTGTGCTGAATGGTGCTCACACTATTTAAGACGAGGTCGTGTCTCTTGTGATTGGCTAGAAAGAATCAAGAATGGAGCCAATAAAAACATCCATTTCAGATCGAGTTCCAACCGAGCCGGGCTGCGGAGCCGCAAGCACAAGAAGTGGTGTGGACGCGCGCGAACATCGGGAAGGTACTCTGCAACGAGTGGCCGCACGAAGAGGCAGAGCGCGCTGCCTTTCGCGAGAAGCGCAAGCTGAAGTGACTCGCTAAAGCGTCCTCCTCTGTTGCCACAGTCGGCGTTTTTCTCGGTAAACTATCTACAAAACTCACAGCGCATAAACGCCCGATGTGGAAGCAATGCCCTTTCAACCGATGCGGCACTGATGGCGGCCCACCGACGCCAGCACCGCAGAAACGACCAAGCACCGGTGCGGAAGCGACAACGCCGCGAGCGTCTTTCGCACCCACGCCAAGGTACTATCGCAGATGGCTGCGACGCGGCTCAAAATGGTGCTGGTACCACCAATCGTGCATGGTGTGGCATTGGTCCTCGACGAAAAGCGTGCTGCAAGAGGGCGCAGCGGTCTTTGCAAGCTTGCCTAATGTCCTGAATTGATGGGATGCGTGATGAAACAAGGACTTCGGTCACACGAGTATCACCGTCCACAGTCGAGCCCTAGAGAGGGACTTGCAGAACGAACTGGGCTCGATGTTGTTCCGATTCTTCTGTAAAAGCACTGCGTTTCGCCATTGTCGTGCTCGTTTTTACACTTGTTTTCACACGGCTGAACGTTTGTTTGGAAATGGGACCTTCTCCAAGTGCCACGTCATAGCGATCGAGCGTTTGTCACATTTTGCGACCCCGGACAGTGCGATGACGCATGAGAGCCCTCTCACACAAGTAGTGATAAATTTTGCAAACCATCGGTCAATAGGGGGCTGAATTTGCAAATTCCCCATCGTCAGGCTCGCAACTCGAAAAGGCGAGCGCGACACGTCTAACCAAATGCATGTAAAATTAATTATTACTTGAGCACATCAGTAGCCGTCGAGGTCACGCACGCCATCCCAGTCCTTTGGCGCGTCAAAGTCAAAGCTCTTCATGTAGTCCATGACGTGCGACACGGGACCGTCGCTTGGTCGGAGTTCCAGTGCGAGTGTGAAGGCCGTTTTGGCGCTGCGCCAGTCACCCTTGAGGTAGAGCTCAACGCCGTTAGCGGCCGCTTCAAGAAAGGCCGGGTCGAGGCCCTCGCGGATCTCCTTGTACTCGGGGTCGTTCTCAAAGTCCACTGGGATCTGCATGTCGTCGCCTTCCTCGTCCTTCTCGAATCTACGCATCATGAGCCTCGGAACGAAGGTTGGTGCGCCCACCGAGGGGTCGCAAACCCCGGCTTGGGGTTGGTCACGTCAAAGGTGTAGACGGTCAGCGGCGTGTCCACGCTACTCAACCACATTGATTGCAGTCTCGTCTCATTCATCGAGAGGACGCACCCTCGAATCCGGATTCGGTCCATCTTGCGCCGAAACTTGCGCGCAGACGGTGACAGCAGTGCGTACAGCCAGTGGCTGATGTTGACGGGCGTCTTGAAGATCTTGGACCCGGCCTCGAGACGGTCCGCCATCTCGACGTGCGGCGAGAT